TGAGAATCCTTTCACAAGGCATCGCAATAATTATAATTACGGAATTGGGCAGTAATGCGGTGCTAGTCTTGATATGTTTCACTCAGGTCATGTCTGATATCGTTGGCATAAGAGAAAATCAGTGGGTGTACATCCACTGCACTTGCAAACTTGCGTGTCTCTCTTGCGACGAATGCACATGGTACTTGGTGTCTGTGTCAATTGGCTCATTCTGTGGGCGAGTGGTCACTGCCTGAGTTCAATGTCGGAAAAGGTAAGTAGCTCTAGAGTGCAGTATAGAGAAAATTATGCCAAATACGCGGTCATTAGGAGAGACTATACCAGCAACTTCGACTCATATACTTCAATATCTAATTGGATCTGTATAGAAGACGCTGCTCAGTGGTATTGGAGTTGTGGTTGATCAACAGCGTATCTTTTAGGTACATGTGGCACCCATTGGTCTTGTGTGAGTGACACTAGGCATGCAACCGGACAACGTTGGTGAAAGGTTCCATTACCAAAGAACTTGATTGGTTTGCCATTTAGCTTCCTCTGTGGCATCACATCGTTTCCGTGGACTGGTTTAGATTCTTGCCCACGTTTCCAGGAGTCCAGCCAATTAATAGCAGCCGAAGCTATCTGAATAGCCAGATTATGTCTTCTTATCTGCTCTGCACTCCATCCGCTTGCATCAATAAGCAATGCAAACACGTTGTCCCCTGCACAGGCACGTGACTTCTGCAGGGAATTCCGGGAGAGCGTAAAGTGGCAGGACGAATTACCGTGAAGTTGCCACATGATCTGAGTACAATCGTAGCACATCAAGTCTTGACACTACTAATACTTGTGACATGATCAATTCTGCTATGCTCTAATGCAGACTAGCAATAAGAGGCATTTGTCAGATACTAGTAACCATGAGGTACTGAGATGATTCTCTTCGGCAAGCCACCCACTCTGCAAAAAAATGCGCCAAAATTAATAATCTGTCATCTGCCTGCTCCAACTTGACTGTCCTCCTGACAAGTGAAAACCGCTGGCGTTGTCCGGCCATAAATACCATTATTGGCATCAATCCAACGCATTAATCCAACGCCTTCGTTGCTCCTCATCTCTGCAGCTCATACCAATAGGTCTGGCACGTCGAAAAACTAAAATACTCGGAGCTACAAGCTACATTTTCAGAGACAGGGAGTTGCAAATGGCAAGAAACCCAGCTTCCCTTCACCTTTGGCATTTATCAGCCAGCAATGTTTTACTAGAGCAAAGGCGCTGGCGGGAACAGAAACAGCAACGTTTCTTTCTCAGCAAAAACAAATAAAAAGGAAAGGAACAAAAAAGGATCAACACCAGGGATTCGTCCATACCCGGTACCCAGGCCAGGTGTGTACTACCCCTGGAAAGGCTCTCCCACAGATTGCAGTACAAAAGCCACGGCCAAGTGTCCCACTGAGGTGCGGTCGCTTGCCCGGACCGCTGGGACGCGGACACCTACGAAGAGCAGCCTGTGACGTTTATTGTTTATGACAGAAAATCCGCAAAAAAAGTTGGGCTTGTCCCTTTAGCCTTTCGCCCTCTACCATCCCTTGAAGTGATCCTATGCTAGCTGTTGAATATGGCATGTATTGATACAAGGGCCTGCGAAGAAAAGTTTCAACTATGCTTCCAAGACACTGTAGTGGTATTGAGGCTAAATGCACGCACGTGTGTGTATGTGTTCGCGTGTGCATGTGTGTGTGTGTGTGCTTTGATTCAGGCGGTAGATCCGAGCTCTTCTTTCACCGGTGGCTCACTGCTCGGTGATAAGACGCGCATGCCAGAGCTTTCACAGGACAAGAACGCCTATATCCGGCCATCACCTACCAGCGGCACACTGGGTAACGGCGCTGTATTCACTATTGTGTGTGTGTGTGTGTGTGTGTGTGTGTGTGCATGCGTGCGTGCGCGCGCGCGTGCGTGGGTGTGTGTGGAGGGGGGGGGGGGGGGGGGCATTCATGCATGTGTGTGTACATTGTCCCTTCACGGTCACTAGTTAGCAAATGTCACTCAACTTGGACAGTGTATCAGTGGTTCGGTTTATGTTGTAGTTCTTAGGCGTTCAGTTTGGAGCTGGGTTTTGTATTGTCTTGTGCTGCACGTATACTCGTAACTTGCCACATGATGGGTTGTGCATGTGTGTACTCATCTGTGCTATAGGCGGAGTTGCACAGAACACCAGTGAAGCTGTTATTCTCTGTGAAGGTAGGGCATGGTTCTCCCACTTCTGCATACAGCCACACATGCATAGCAACAAGCCTGTGTGTGCTGCCCACATTAAGAGCATGTGTGTGTGTGTGTGTGTGTATGCGTGCGTGCGTGCGTGCGTGCGTGTGTGTATCCATGCATAGCAACACGCCTGTGTGTGCTGCCCACATCAAGAACATGTGTGTGTGTGTGTGTGTGTGTGTGTGTGTGTGTGTGTGTGTGTGTGTGTGTGTGTGTGTGTGTGTGTGTGTGTGTGTGTGTGTGTGTGTGTGTGTGTGTGTGTGTGTGTGTGTGTGTGTGTGTGTGTGTGTGTGTGTGTGTGTGTGTGTATCCATGCATTGCAACAAGCCTGCATGTGCTGCCCACATCAAGAACTGCGACTGGATCCAGGACTCCAGGTGCACCTCTATGTCACTACACAAACGTACATGCCTACGGTGTTGAGATGTACTATTGCATCCCTGTACACGTGTGTGTGCGTGTGTGTGCGTGTGCGAGTTGATTAAGTCATTGGCTGCACTGTAGTCTGGTAACTGAAGCGCTCACTAGAGCCAAGGTCGTGCACCCGAACTGCAATCTCTCTCTGGCCCTGACCAGCTTACCGTTAGTTTCCTTCGGTGTGTGTGTGTGTGTGTGTGTGTGTGTGTGTGTGTGTGTGTCACTGTGTGTGTGTGTGTGTAATATCGACATCGATTTGTTCTTGTTCTTGCAGCTGCTGGCTATGACATTGTTCTGGTGGAAACGGTCGGTGTTGGTCAATCCGAGTACGCTGTCTCCAACATGGTGGATATGTTTGTGCTCTTGATTCCACCAGCCGGAGGCGATGAGTTGCAGGTACGGCGCTAATGCAGCTAGCGACGGAGAGGTTCAGTGAGTTGTGAAACGAATACGTACCGATGGGGGGGGGGGGGCTAGCAGCTCGTTACTGCACCCCTAGCCTGGCCTGGCTAACTAGTGATTCTCGCAGCAGTGTTCAATAATTTCTTCCCGCAGGCATCCACAGTGGCATTGATCATGAATTCGTGATGTACGATCATCACCCACAATCCAAGTTTGCAACCAGCAGAGCCGCCTTGTCTTCAGAGTCAGGCGAATTATTCCCAGGGGGGGGGGGGGATGCTTTTGTACCACACTTTTGTCACAATTCGCGTAATTAAACTCTCTATTATGTACATGTAGTGAGAAGTTGCCACAGGCTGGTGCATATATTTACTGTGCCTTTGTGCTCTGGAAGGCTGGCATGTACAATGCTGTGTCTATGATTGGCTGTTCATTTCATTCAGACTGCGCTTGTCATCAGCTACGAGTATGTTCTATGGAAGAAAATCATCAAGAGGTACACGGCTATCCTCTCAGAGTATCTTTTTGCTGTGTATATTAAAAAAAAAAAATCTGTGCGGGGGCATGCTATCCTCTCAGAGACTGAGTCTCTGCTGCAGTCTGTAGACATATCAGTCAACAGGAGCAATTGCATATTCTTGTATGTGTTCATTTTGCAGGGTTTGAAGCGAGGCATTGTGGAGATGGCTGATCTGATAGTTGTGTCCAAGGCCGACGGTGACCTCCATGCCCCGGCTATACGGATGCAAACTGAATACAAGAGTGCACTGCGAGTGATGCGCCCCTACTCCGAACTCTGGAACCCAAAGGTTGGCATGGTTTTTCCCCAATTTTCAGCATCCGTTTTTGAGTGCCGCTCCTACCTACTATCTCTGAGTCTCGTCTTGAGTGGCTATGCATGTCTTGAATGTCTTGAGTGGCTGTGAGTCAGCATGTACGTAACAGCATGCGCCCACGCCAGGCTGGTGGCTATGACTCAATGTGTACATATCTGTAAGGCTGTGCACTGCACAGCATCGCACCACTGTCCGTGATTTCTAACTTATGTCCCTCATGAGCGTTGTGTCCCATATGGTGCAATGGTATGTGCAGCGATTTCCAATCGATAGATTGCGGGTTCGATTCCCGACGATCATGGTCACACACGTCTTTCTTCTCTTTCTCAGACTCTTCCCGACTTTTCTTTCATTCTCCTGGGTGGTTACCACCAGCCAGTGCATGCCGGAGTACCGTAAAGTCGCGGATAAAAGCCGGGCTTATAAGCATATAAGCCGCTTTCTGCATCAGGCTTTAGGCCGCAACCACACTACGTAAAAATCACAGTACAAATTTTCATGCATATCTCAGTGCAAGTCGGTACGCAACCACACTACACTTTTCGGTCTGCATAGATGACGTTTTCACGCAACCAGCACGTGACGTTGTCGTACCAAAGCGTGTGCCATGCGCTGGAAAAGACCGGGAAATTCAAAAACAATGCTGGTGCTGATGCTATGTACGATGACCCGTTACAAAAGCAAAGTTGTACACAGGAGAAGGAGCGCGAAAAAGACGAAAACGACAAACGTGGCTTTCTACAGGGGTGCGCCAGTTGCTGAAAACCTACAAAGCGCATTTTGCATTTCACACGCGTCGGCATGACGATTTCTACTGTAATGCCGTTTGTACGTGATTTTGTACCTAGTGTGGTTGCAGCCTAAATGCAAACCAGGCTTGTATGCAAATGATACTTATATGCACCACTGATATTTTGCCAGGCTTCTACGTGCGACACGCGTAGATCTACCACTGACCACCGGTAAGGCGGCAGTTTTACTATGCACTGTACATAGCGCATGCACTCTTGACCTACCCGATCCGCGCTTGCATAGAAGCCAGGCTTCTACGCGCGACAGGCTTATATGCATTTGACCCGTTTGATTTCCAGGTTTCTATCCGCGATGTGCTTGTATGCAAACCCGGCTTTTATCCGCGACTTTACGGTATGTGGTGTGATGTGTGTGCGGGGGAAAAAAAGAAAAAGAAAAAAGGCCAAAAAGTAGGGATTCACTGGCCAGAAAAAGCCACTTCATAGCTGTGTGGTGTAGACCAGGCTGAATAGTGGCGGCCAATTCATCAGCCTTGCAAGCTGTTGAATGGTGCAATCCCAGCACAAGTTGCTATGGCTTCTGCTGTAGCATCGCTATCATCGCCTCCGGCGATGAGCGTCCAATGGTCCAATGGACCAGCTCCCAGCATTGTTGGAACAGCTCGAGGTATATCCACCTGCTCTGGGAATAGGGAGTGGTACATTACAAACAGCACTCTGGCTAAGGTGTTGACTTTTAAAACTGCCCTGAGTGCTCACAGTAGGCGCCCAGCTCTGATGCTTGCTCCAGTGGCTTTCTCTGTTTGCTCATTCTCTTGTACGTTGGTATGCTTGCCTGTGATCAGGTGCTTTGCATCTCGGCTATACAGAGTGATGGCATCGAGTCACTGTGGAAGACAATGGAAAAGTATCGCGAGAAAATGAATGTAAGTGCAGTGCAGTGGTGAGTGTACTGCGTGGACATGGAAATCCGGTCGAATGACCATATGGCCTGCGCTCTCAGTGCGTACAAATCGTTGCATATGTGTACCGTATGCGTACTCGCGGCTGCATGGCCAGCGCCCTGGGACCGCTTGACCTAGTATTACCGGATTTCCATGTCCACGACAGTAGTAGTAGTAGTAGTAGTAGTAGTAGTAGTAGTAGTAGTAGTAGTAGTAGTAGTAGTATCTGTATGTATGAACGGTGGCAACGTCCGACCCCTGATTTTTGTGATGCGAATGAGTGCAGCACCCATTCTAGCGGTCTCTTCTTGGTAGTATACACGCGTGTGCTGCGTTTTTGCAATTATGTGATCGCTCCGAGCTGGGGTCGAATCTCAGGTGCCACGTACTGTACAATGTACATAATAGCTTCTTTTGTCCTCTGTGCAGCACACAGTGCATGCTTTTTAAAATATGTGTGCTTTGGTGTGCGTGTGTGTGTGTGTGTGTGTGTGTGTGTGTGTGTGTGTGTGTGTGTGTGTGTGTGTGTGTGAGAGGGAGAGGGAGAGAGAGAGAGAGAGAGCTGTCATTGGCATTGATTCAACGATGGCTGTGTGCGTGTGTGTGTGTGTGTGTGTGTGTGTGTGTGTGTGTGTGTGTGTGTGTGTGTGTGTGTGTGTGTGTCCCATATGGTGCAGTGGTATGTGCAGTCGATTTCCAATCGAGAGGTTGCGGGTTCAATTCCCGACGATTATGGTCGCACACGTCTTTCTTCTCTTTCTCGGACTCTTCCTGACTTTTCTTTCATTCTCCTGGGTGGTTAGCACTGGTTACCAACAGCCAGTGTATGCCGGAGTATGTGGTGTGGTGTGTGTGTAGAAAAAAAAGAAAAAAAAGAAGAAAAAAAATGGAAAAATGAAAAATAGGGATTCACTGGCCGGAAAAAGTCACTTCAATCAGCTGTGTGGTGGATACCAGGCTACAAAATAGTGGCTGTCAATTCATCAGCCTTGCAAGCTGTTGAATGGTGTAATCCCAGCACAAGTTGCTATGTCTAACATAGCTGTTCGCTATCATCGCTTCCGCGATCGGCAGGTCTGAGGTCTGAGGTGTGTGTGTGTGTGTGTGTTAGCTATCATCGCCTTCGGCGATGGGCTTTCCAAAGGTCCAAAGGTGTGTGTGTATAATGAACATTCTTCACATTGTTTCTTGGGTGTGTTACTTGTGCAGGGCTGTGGAAGATTGGCCACAAGACGGGAAAATCAGCGTCAAATCTGGCTGTGGAATCATATTGAGCACCAGCTGCTTAGCCGGTAACTGTCATGATGGTGGTGGGGGTGGTGGTGGTGTGTGTGTGTACAGCTGTGCAGTGGTGGTGGTGGTGTGTGTGTGTGTGTACAGCTGTGCAGTGGTGGTCGTGTGTGTGTACAGCTGTGCAGTGGTGGTGTGTGTACAGCTGTGCAGTGGTGGTGGTGTGTGTGTATGTACAGCTGTGCAGTGGTGGTGGTGTGTGTGTGTACAGCTGTGCAGTGGTGGTGTGTGTGTGTACAGCTGTGCAGTGGTGGTGTGTGTGTGTACAGCTGTGCAGTGGTGGTGGTGTGTGTGTACAGCTGTGCAGTGGTGGTGGTGTGTGTACAGCTCTGCTGTGGTGGTGGTGTGTGTGTGTACAGCTGTGCAGTGGTGGTGTGTGTGTGTACAGCTGTGTAGTGGTGGTGGTGTGTGTGTACAGCTGTGCAGTGGTGGTGTGTGTGTGTGTACAGCTGTGCAGTGGTGGTGTGTGTGTGCACGTGTGTACAGCTGTGCAGTGGTGGTGGTGTGTGTGTGTACAGCTGTGCAGTGGTGGTGTGTGTGTGTACAGCTGTGCAGTGGTGGTGTGTGTGTGTACAGCTGTGCAGTGGTGGTGTGTGTGTGTACAGCTGTGCAGTGGTGGTGTGTGTGTGTACAGCTCTGCTGTGGTGGTGGTGTGTGTGTGTACAGCTGTGCAGTGGTGGTGTGTGTGTGTGTACAGCTGTGTAGTGGTGGTGGTGTGTGTGTACAGCTGTGCAGTGGTGGTGTGTGTGTGTGTACAGCTGTGCAGTGGTGGTGGTGTGTGTGCACGTGTGTACAGCTGTGCAGTGGTGGTGGTGTGTGTGTGTACAGCTGTGCAGTGGTGGTGGTGTGAGTGTGTACAGCTGTGCAGTGGTGGTGTGAGTGTGTGCAGCTGTGCAGTGGTGGTGTGTGTGTGTGTGTACAGCTGTGCAGTGGTGGAGTGTGTGTGTGTACAGCTGTGCAGTGGTGGTGTGTGTGTGTACAGCTGTGCAGTGGTGGTGTGTGTGTGTGTGCAGCTGTGCAGTGGTGGAGTGTGTGTGTGTACAGCTGTGCAGTGGTGGTGCGTGTGTGTGTGCAGCTGTGCAGTGGTGGAGTGTGTGTGTGTACAGCTGTGCAGTGGTGGTGTGTGTGTGCAGCTGTGCAGTGGTGGAGTGTGTGTGTGTGTACAGCTGTGCAGTGGTGGTGGTGTGTGTGTGTGCAGCTGTGCAGTGGTGGTGTGTGTGTGTGTACAGCTGTGCAGTGGTGGAGTGTGTGTGTACAGCTGTGCAGTGGTGGTGTGTGTGTGTACAGCTGTGCAGTGGTGGTGTGTGTGTGTACAGCTGTGCAGTGGTGGTGTGTGTGTGTACAGCTGTGCAGTGGTGGTGTGTTTGTGTGTGCAGCTGTGCAGTGGTGGAGTGTGTGTGTGTACAGCTGTGCAGTGGTGGTGTGTGTGTGTGCAGCTGTGCAGTGGTGGAGTGTGTGTGTGTACAGCTGTGCAGTGGTGGTGTGTGGGTGTGTGCAGCTGTGCAGTGGTGGAGTGTGTGTGTGTACAGCTGTGCAGTGGTGGAGTGTGTGTGTGTGCAGCTGTGCAGTGGTGGTGTGTGTGTGTACAGCTGTGCAGTGGTGGTGTGTGTGTGTACAGCTGTGCAGTGGTGGTGTGTGTGTGTACAGCTGTGCAGTGGTGGTGTGTGTGTGTACAGCTGTGCAGTGGTGGTGTGTGTGTGTGTGTACAGCTGTGCAGTGGTGGTGTGTGTGTGTGTGCAGCTGTGTAGTGGTGGTGTGTGTGTGTGTTCAGCTGTGCAGTGGTGGTGTGTGTGTGTGTACAGCTGTGCAGTGGTGGTGTGTGTGTGTACAGCTGTGCAGTGGTGGTGTGTGTGTGTACAGCTGTGCAGTGGTGGTGTGTGTGTGTGTGTACAGCTGTGCAGTGGTGGTGTGTGTGTGTGTGTACAGCTGTGCAGTGGTGGTGTGTGTGTGTGTGCAGCTGTGTAGTGGTGGTGGTGTGTGTGTGTTCAGCTGTGCAGTGGTGGTGTGTGTGTGTACAGCTGTGCAGTGGTGGTGCGTGTGTGTGTACAGCTGTGCAGTGGTGGAGTGTGTGTGTGTACAGCTGTGCAGTGGTGGTGTGTGTGTGTGTACAGCTGTGCAGTGGTGGTGTGTGTGTGTGTTCAGCTGTGCAGTGGTGGTGTGTGTGTGTACAGCTGTGCAGTGGTGGTGTGTGTGTGTGTGCAGCTGTGTAGTGGTGGTGGTGTGTGTGTGTACAGCTGTGCAGTGGTGGAGTGTGTGTGTGTACAGCTGTGCAGTGGTGGTGTGTGTGTGTGTACAGCTGTGCAGTGGTGGAGTGTGTGTGTGTACAGCTGTGCAGTGGTGGTGTGTGTGTGTGTACAGCTGTGCAGTGGTGGTGTGTGTGTGTGTACAGCTGTGCAGTGGTTATGGCCTGGTGTAATATGCCCGAAACTTGGCCGAAAATGCTGTTGGGAAATTCTCGTAAACCTTGCCGAAAATGCTCCCAAACCTTGCCGAAAATGCTCCGAAAATGCTCACTTTTTTCAAGTTTTTTGTAATCCTCAGCACACGCCGTCAAAAGACTCAAAATCAGGGAGTCAGAAAATACCGGTATTTTTACGACTCCCTGGTCAAAACCATTATTTTCAATTCATAAACTCAACAAGAAGCTAACCCACGGAATGCGGAAGTGACGTTCTTGTTTGGGAAGTTTTCTTCTCTCAATTTTGATACACAACGGCCAAGTGCTCCGTTTCCCCAAAATGCTGCATCACGAGCGCAAAGTGCTGGGTTCGCGGATTGTACCGAAAATGCTCAAAAAAATGCCGGCATATTACACGGGGGCCTAGCAGTGGTGGTGGTGTGTGTGTACAGCTGTGCAGTGGTGGTGTGTGTGTGTGTACAGCTGTGCAGTGGTGGTGTGTGTGTACAGCTGTACAGTGGTGGTGTGTGTGTGTACAGCTGTGCAGTGGTGGTGTGTGTGTACAGCTGTGCAGTGGTGGTGGTGTGTGTGTATGTACAGCTGTGCAGTGGTGGTGATTATGCAGGAGTGTGTAGTCGTCGTGACGTCTACAAGCACATGTTTCTAGTGTACATGTACGGTATGTTTTTGCTGCTGCCTATGCTGGCTGTCGTTTGCAAGTTAACTTTTAAAACAAGCTTTCCTGTTGATGTTGATCGTGGTGGTGACGGTGCTGCTGTTGCTGCTGCTGCAAATAGATTCAAGCGTCATGCACACGTGGAGACAATGAAGGATGGCATGGAGTCAGCGGTGCGCTGCGGTCGCATTACACCCGGAATGGCTGCGCATAACATGTTGGATGCATTCTTCGGCACGACCCGTGCGTCTTCGCCTGCTGCCGATACAGGTGAAGGAGACGATCAGGCAGGCAGGTGATTGCTACTGCTGACTACTGCCATGTGTACGCGTTGTACACTGCACAGTGTCCATGATGTACACCATGTACTTCGGTACGTGATGTACATTTTTTGTAGCTAGATGGAACCAGTGGCAAGCGATAGTATGCCACGGTGTTATGCGAGAGGCCGTTGCTCTCAAAACAGGTGTTGCTGAGGTCTATGCTGAGGTCTATGTACCCTGATGCTACCTACATGTACAATGCATGCCAGGACACTGGACAGGGCAGGGCAGGGCAGGGCACTACAGGGCAGTACAGGGCGCTGACACGTGCCGTTGCGGATCACTGCCATTGACCTGTCCTGGTCGCAAGGACACGCGCTCCTTGTCCAGGCAGTGCCGGAGCAGCCTGCTCACACCGCGGCCAGGCATCATCAGATGCTTGCTTCAGTTCAGCATTACAGCATCGCATGGTGTTCTCTGGGGTAGCCGCCGCCAGTGTGTGGTTGGTGTGCGATGACAGCAACCTTCTTGTTTCAGATTACTACAGTGCTATGCCATGCACATGGCTAGTGTGCTGGTGATGCTTAGCCAAGTTAGTTGCATGTGCAGCTGCTGCATCTATCTGCCAGCGAGCAGTCGAACAGCCTGTTGAGAGACACTGTCAACTTAGCTCGGTTGAAAGCAGTGCCCCTCGTCTCTCAGTCTCGGTGACACCCTTCAACCGTTTATGTCCCTAGTTTCACCAGCGAGTCACTTGTAGTTAGCCGTGCTGGTCCTTATCAAGTTCAACAATTTGTCTCATTCATATTGTAACCAGTACTAGCGTATCATCATTGCTGTGTGCTGTGTCGTATGCTATTTTAGGAGCACTTGATAGCTAAATCCCTTCTCAGATCCGCTATTTATTTTTTTTACCCTATTCTTCTTTTTTTTTAAGAGCAAATCACTGATTTAATTTCAAGGACTGCCATGATGTTCCTGCAACCAAGCGCACCCCTCCCCCAGATCGATGCAGAGTGCGTCACTCCAGACTAATCCTGCCCCCTGTTTAAATTACACGTATGTGCCAAAATATAGAAAATACACTTCACCCCATATTATTGGAAAACCAATTTTGTCGAGTCGCTCGACATGAACCACCTCTCTTCTCTCTGTCTGTCTGTCTCTCTCCGAGGAAAGGAATCAGTGTCAACAAGAATGCATGACCCCAAATTGTGCCACAGCAAGTATCACTTTGTGCATTGAGGTTTTGCTGCAGCCGAATCCAAACTTCTTATGCCAGTAACTAGTGCAATATACACACATACTTCAAGTACATAGGTGCAACAACTTTGGCACAAGGAAGACATCATGGGTCTGTCTGCAAGCAAAAGCATGCTGTAGTTAAACATGACTGTATTGTATTCTTGGTATGACTTTCTAAAACAGAGTTGCACACAGACGCTGCATTGCAGAAGTACGACAGCAAGGGTGGAGCAAATGGAGGGCTACTTTCACCCACATGGACATCATCCACAAACCCAGGTATCAGGAAGGTGGTGAAAACAAATCAAGTCAGCTGGTGAACTGCAAAACTAGAGATGTTGGTTAAAAAAAGGGTTAGCTAGGTGCTGGTAATCAAGAATGAACCACTATTAAACAGGTATAAAATGTCAGTGAACGAAACTGGAATTCAATGGAATACTAGTCATCGCCAACACTTCAGGCGTTGATGAACAGATAATGAGTGTGTGTGTGTGGGGGGGGGGGGAGGGCATACAAAAAAACAAATGACCTATCATGCCCTGCATCGAATAAGTAGGAAAAAAAGGTGGGTACTTAGGTAAACACACACACACTGACACAAAAACGAACACACACACACACACACACCCACCAGGGCTTTGGATCTATAATTATAAAAACTACAACGGCCTACTAAAAACAATAAAATCTAGACGATGGCTCAGCTAAAAAAAGGTACTTGAAAACCAGTGTAAGAACAGAAACCAAAGCTATGAAAGCAAGGGCTCCACCACCATCACCACCACCAGTGCAGAGAACAAGACTTCAAGAGTAGATGGAGTATCGGCGTGTGTCTGCATATATGTTCAGGAGGAATTATGTGCATGTGCGTGCATGGGTGTGTGTTCACTTTGTTCATGCACTGCTCTCAGGACAGCAGCACGGTTCCTGCAAGTGCGACACGGAGACAAGACAGAGAAGGGAACACAGTATGATATTGACATCATGTGATCCTCCTACTTGTGAAAACACACCGAGGCTGGACCAGAGCCCCGAGGTAAAGTCGGAACTGTCACATGTACATGCAGTGCAGGGCCACTACTGCCACTACTGCCACTAGGGCCACTAGGGCCACTAGTGAATTCTGGGTCGACACGGCCCAAACAAGTCTACCTCGCACAGTCAAGCTAACGTTATCCATGCATCAACACAGCACAACACTACAGGTACATGTACTGTCAGTTGGCGAAGAACTGGGGGTCAGCCTCTCCTAGCCTACACACTTCTTATCTTCATGTATTACAGTCGATGCGCAGTTGAGTCGCCGTGTATACGTTGGTATGCTGTGCTTGATGCAATTCTAGCCTGGTCGCTCTTCAGCGCTCCGTTCTTCAGCGCCCGACAGCACAATACTAGCAGCATTGGACATGTTGACAGAAAAGGAGCCCTTGCGACAGCACACGATCAACCCTAGCCTCCTCCCCACCAGCAGCACAAACAAAGCCACCAGTCGGCCAGGAGTTACCAAGTCGACACCGGCGGCGCATGTGTGAGCACACACACGCACGCACACACACACACACACACACACACACACACACACACACACCCACACCCACCCACACCCACCCCCACACACACAGAACCACACACACCCACCCACCCCCACACACAGAAACACACACAGAAACACACACAGAAAAACACACACAGAAACACACACACAGAAACACACAAGGACGTGTCCATGCCCATGTACCTTTAAATCCTTCTTCAGGCGTGGTGTCTACTGGTGCCAGTTCTTCTACTTCAGTTGCGACTGGCTTATCCACCTAACATGAACATTGAAACACAATGAAAGGAGCAGCAGAGCATGAGCTACGGTAGTATGTAGTACACATACGTACGTACAACTAGCAGCACTATTCTATGAACATACGAACAGACACAGGGTATTAGAGAGGTTCTGCTACACGGAACTACGTACCAAACTCCGTGTCAACTGCAGTGAAGTTTGACACGGAATTTTCGTACGTTGCACCGGTTCTGCTGTACGTAGCATGCTCGAAGCATGCACGAACACCCCGCCACATGTACTCTGTACGCTCACTTTTCACACGGAGTACAGTCCGTGTGAAGCGTGCTTCACACGGAAAACGGTATGAAAAAATCCGTATCAAACTAAATCCCGTACCGCGGCGAAGTTTCCATACGTACTTTGGCACGTTTTACCGTGTGGCAGAACCTCACTATTGTTACTATTGTACGCTAAGCCCTGAAGCCAAAAATAAGCGTTCAAGCACACTAATTTCTTGAAATAAGCCGGGCTGGGTTGTATCTACAGTCCATTCACAAAAAGATGGGCCCTGGCCCTGGTGAGCTCCCGTATTAGGCGATTTTCAAGATTTTATCGTACACAGTGCAGTGCTGTGAAACTTGAAATTTGAAAAAGGGTCCAAAAAGGGTACCTGAACTGGGGTTCGAACCGTACAATGCACTGTTGCAGGCAGGGTCAAACAGCCTGGATTTTGATGGGTTTTCCCAATTCAGTGCTCTTGGGGCAAAACCTGGCCGAAATCTTATTCTTCCTATGGCTTGCTTTTTGGAGAAATAGACTTCAGAAACATAATTGGAAGAGGATTCCATAGGGGGTTGCAGAAAAAAATTCTAAAAAAACTCAACGTTTGACCCATTTATGGCCAAAAGCTAGAAGTCCATCTTTTTCTGAATGGACTGTACACAACAACCCATTCATATGCATACCGGTAATACTTCCGTACATACCAGCCGCCCACTTCGAGTCTACCGGTTCTACACGTTTTAATGGGAAATGCTTGGGGATTTATGAAACTTCACTTCTTAACTCCAAATTGAATAAAATTGTATTACCCTGATGAGGGGCCAGGCCCGAACATTTGGTGTAATAATTTGAATCGCAGTAAAGAGCCAGTTTTGGAGTTTGGAGTTTTAAAAGAAGTGCAGTTTTCATAAATGTGCAAGTGGCTGCGTTGGAGTTTGCGGACAATAGAGAGTTAACGCTTCATGTTTTTTTCCAATTTAGAAAGTGAGGTCTCACGGCCAAAATGGTGCTCCTCAAGTTGCAACGTGATATTTCAATGCGACATAGGGCCAACTCACGGTGAAAAAAGCGATTCAAAGCATGCTTTTTTCTCACGTTTATAGAAATTTAAAAAACGTGAAGCGTAAACTCTCTTATAAGAAAAATTCTTTGGGATCATAAAATAATATCCACTGTCGAGTCGCAATAACGACTGGTCTTTGGACAGGCAGAACACGTTGAACAGTTGTAAAAGATAGAACAAAAATGCGACTTTTTAAGCAGTTTTCCTTCAGCAGAAGTGCCAGCAGTCTGGGCATGGTGCATGTAATGGTTGAAACATAAGCAAACAAATCACGGTTCGCGCGAGACTCGGCTGGAGGACAAGTTTGCGCAACCCTAGGAACGCCAATGTGGCCAACGTGGTCAAAGACCGAAATTCCCATTTGTAATGGTTGAAACATAGCAAACAAATCACGGTTCGCGCGAGACTCGGCTGGAGGACAAGTTTGCGCAACCCTAGGAACGCCAACGTGGCCAACGTGGTCAAAGACCGAAATTCCCATTAACGCAGCATCCAAACATAAGCAAAGTCTCCGATAAAAGCACGGCCTCCACCATAAGCTCAATCTCCGCTATAAGCTCAGTCTCCGCTATAAGCTCGGAGTGGATGAGGTAAAAACTAAAATATGGGTAAAAACTAAAACATAATGTCGGTAGATACACCACACCTGACGAAGACCGTGCATGTTCTAAACAAATTGTACGTGCGGCGCTTAGGCGAGACCAAAATAAAATCGAGATTCTTGTGCGAATTTTTAATTTGTTTTATGAGCCAGAGCGCACTAAAACATGACCACAGCTTTTTTTTGAAAAAGTCGAGAAAATCGAGATTTGAATTCCGCTCCAAAAAATACGAAATGCAGTGCAACGCGAGTCGCTGTTGTAGTTCTCCTCGGTCGACTGAACTGTTCCGGTTGCATTTCTTTGTTGGAAGTGAGTTTGTATTCCATGTTGCGCTGAGTCGCCTAACACTGATCGTCATCGATGTATCGAACGGAAGAGCCTAATGTACTGCCGAGCGGAAGAAGATGACATCGTTGCACTCCAAGCTCAGGATGAGATATTTTGAGGATTTGTTCGGAGACAGAAGGAAGACGATGATGGCTACAGCGACGAGTCATTCGAGGGCGACACTTTCATCGAGCGTAAAAGAATTGATGCTGGTAGTCCCACGATCTGCAGTGACGAGGAATTCTACTCTGATGACAACCTGGCAAGCGATTGGCATCGGCACTGACTTGGGAGGTGAGTCGGCCGATGATTTGGCCAGAGTGGACATCCCTGCACATATCCGGGACAATGTCAGTATTGGTTGCAAGTGCAAAAACAATCAATGGACTCTGCTGCTCCCTCAAGTCGATAATTTGAGTACCCTTATGTGGGACATCTCCAGCACGAGCAGTAGGCAGCGAACTCTCTGGCGAGCGGAGAAAACCGTGTGCAGATGGGCCTTGGTGTGGGGAATACGAGTGCGACGTTGAGTATGTTGAGGAAGACTGTGTGCAGCAGTGTATACTGTATATCTGAAAGTACAGGTGGAGTGTGATGGAGAGGACGTGGGGCACCAACTTCTTCGGACGTCTACAGATGTTGACCGTGTTTTCACCGGTAGTTCGCCAGTGGTGCTCCAACCAGGAGGTATTTCGGACACCCAGCTCAGCTACCTATAGAAACTTTGGATGTGGCTGAATACCTGGCAGCGCATGCGATAAGACCCTGGATAGAGGAACTGATCCGGAAAGGATGAACCAAGGGGCATATCAACCGTATGCAAAATGACAATCCCATTGCTGTACATATAATACCATTGTACCAACACTTAGACATGTCAGATCAATCCAAAACTTTCAGACAGTGAACATTGAGATCATTTTTGAACAAAAAACTGAAAATCGAATTGTTGGTCTGGTCATATTTTAGCGTGCTCTGGCCTCACATGTAGGTGTTCTAAAAAAAATGTCCATGCAGCGCTTAGGCGAGACCAAGATAAAATCGAGATTCCTGTGCGAATTTTTAATTTGTGAACTTTTACAACATGTAGGTACCGGTATGTACATTGCATGCTAAACTTTCTTTTTACGGTATTTTCCGGTAACTTTTTTTCTTTCTTTCACAAACAGCAGGTACTCGATTTACCAATACTATAAATTTTGTAATTCGGCTAACATCAGGGAGTCGTACAAGCCCGGGTTTGTGTGACTCCCTGTCACAGACCTACTCGCACGATCAGGACTGTCAAAGAGTACATAAACATGTAGGCTGTTCATGTACATGAACTGTTCAAAAAAATGTCTCCAGCTTGATTTTGGTGCAGGAGGGCGCGGGAATCTCTATTTTTTGGTCTCGCCTTATAACAGAGAAAATACCGTACCTGCTTTTCTCAGGGTGTCCCAGTGTATTTTCGCCTCATGCTGGTTTCTTATCTGCCCTACCTGGACTGGTCCTGGAGGATTGCAGAGCTGGAAAGGGATACCTAACAGCATCAATGGATGTTGCCCGTGGAAGAGACGGATGTGGCCCGATCCCGCCGAGACATAACCGTTGGTTTAATATTTAAAAAGATAGTTCACATTCGACAGGCGCGTAAGGATTGACGGGAAGCCACGGGACAGCGTCCACTGTGAACACCAGGACCGGGAACGCAACCGTACTACCGTACAGATTGGGAAGCGACTGGAAGAGTTGGATCAGTTCAACTGTTCATACCGTAGACGGGCGTAGACGGGGACGCAAGCATACAAAACGGGAGAGAATTGAATGTGAACAGGCGACGGCGCTGTACGCAAGAAGGGCTTTTTAAGGGCTTTTTCCCACAAGCCCCCCCCCCCCCCACGGATAAAAGGACGTTCTGATGAGAGTACCACCAATCAGTTGCATTATACTTACTTGATTCGTGGTATTATCGCTATCCGCGGCAACTCCGCTGCGATCTATTCTATGTTGTAGAACTTACTCTCGCTGACAGGGTGTGCTGTCACCCTGTCCTGACAGACAACGTTTCACCTCCGTAATCTATTATTCTTCATCCTTTCACTTCAGCAGATTATGTGAGTTTCTGTTCGTTCTGCAATCAAATATTCTGGCTTTTCTTTTCGTTGCACCTGCACTCCGCGCTGCACCCGGACTTTGGCAGTCGCCATACGTTTTATTGTAGTTCACATAATATAACCAAACTTTCCATAATCTAGCCAGTAGTCGAATCCTTGCCCTAATGAGTAGTCGAATCCTTTCCCTAATGCTGGTGTCAATAATCTGTCCTCGTCCCGTGAAATATACGACTCCCAACTATAATAAACTGGTATCTCTGGTGGTCGTGTGTGAACCATAACAAAACCTTTGATAACAGGCCAAGGCAGGGAAGCCGTGCCACCATTGCCGTCCCACCTGGAGCAGCTTCGATGGCTGCAATCATTTATCCGGCACCGTGAGACATCGACAAACGTTTGTGGGGCGGCGTCGGATGAGGGAAGCGCCTCAGAACCGGACGAAGACAATCCCGTTGATGTTGAGAAGGACGATGACGACTGTGCTATACTTGATAGGTACTGCTCTTTGAGTAGGTGTAGGATCAAGACCGAACGGCCGTGGGGGAGTCCAATCAAGAAACCCCCACGGGCAAACATCCAGAAGGCGATTGATAACATCGCCGAAGCAATCAAGACTGAGGAGAGGTAGGATGATCCAGACTGAGGAGAGGTAGGATGATCCAGACAGACTCTTCTGCCTGGGCCTTGTGTCTCACTTCAAGGATTCGCCTCCCCTGCGATGGAGCCTGCTCCAGAGCCGCATTCTGAATGCAATGGTAGAAGTGGAGTTTTCCCCGAATCAACTCGCCCTAGTCTGGACGCTACTACAGCGACTACTGGCAATACAGCCCATCCATCCATTGGTGTAGTGATTCAATAGATAGCAGTGGTCTTCCAGTGACCATATTCCACGTTGCTGCTAACCTCACAACGGATCATTCGGCAGTCGAGCTTCTCACAATGGGAAGTCAATCAATGCAGCAGGCGGAGGATTGCTTTAACGCCGGCATGGAGTATGCAGAAATCTGGAAGGGTTTACCAGAGTCCACCCGCCCCAGTCTGGACGTCATTCACCGTGGTGTGGGGAGCTTTCTCCTATCGCCATCACCGGCAAGGTCCCATTCTAAGAAAAAATGGAATAAATTAGAAGTGCTTGACGAGATGATACTGTTTGGCAATGAAATCCGCAAAGCCATAAGGAATCAGAAGTCGAAGGAGACGCAGATGAACATCCCATGTCGACCACAACTCTGAAGCAAAGGGTTCCATTCCAGCCCGAGCTGCAACCAATAGCGGACGAGATAACCTTAGGAGCTGAAAATGCGGAGCAATTTATAATTTAGAGATCAGAAGCCTGCCCCGGTCCATCTAGGTTCTCAGGCTAGAGAGTGTGACCCATTTCCTACACATTACCCTGGGAGCCTTAGTGTGACCCGTTTCCTACACGTTACCCTGTGAGCCTTAGTGTGACCCGTTTCCTACACGTTACCCTGTGAGCCTTAGTGTGACCCGTTTCCTACACGTTACCCTGGGAGCCTTAGTGTGACCCGTTTCCTACACGTTACCCTGGGAGCCTTAGTGTGACCCGTTTCCTACACGTTACCCTGGGAACCTTAGTGTGACCCGTTTCCTACACGTTACCCTGGGAGCCTTAGTGTGACCCGTTTCCTACACGTTACCCTGGGAGCCTTAGTGTGACCCGTTTCCTACACGTTACCCTGGGAGCCTTAGTGTGACCCGTTTCCTACACGTTACCCTGGGAGCCTTAGTGTGACCCGTTTCCTACACGTTACCCTGGGAGCCTTAGTGTGGCCCGTTTCCTACACGTTACCCTGGGAGCCTTAGTGTGACCCGTTTCCTACACGTTACCCTGTGAGCCTTAGTGTGGCACGCATGCACGTAGCACTACAGTCCTGCTCAATGAAATCCAGTCGAGTCACTCAAGTGCGTGCCGGGCGAACACTGGGCTAAGAAACGGTGCAAGGCGCAGACTTGATTCGCGCGACTGGATTTCATTGAGCACTGCACTGCATATCTATTTTTTTCTCTTTTACGTTTACTTATACCAGGCGTAGGCCATCCCCTGTACATAGGTGCCACCATTTTTCTTTGTTTCAATAAAATTTAATGGTATTGATTGAAAAAAAACTGCACTGTAATAGATCAGTAGTGCACAGGCTGCTACTCACCCAGACTAGCAGAGACGCATTCGGCGCCACACCCTGTGCGCTGAGAGTGCCCTTGTCGTCCAGCAACTCGGTGCACTTGCCGCCATCCTCCTCGATGGCCAAGTGTTGGTCGAAAGGCGCAGCGGTAATGTGCCGCATCAACTGGGCACAAACACCACCAACACGACCAACACCACCATCACAACCAGTACAAACATTGCCATCACAAACACCACCAGCACAACAATCGCCTCACTTCACAGGTAGAAATTAAGCAGGAGGGGGGGGGGTGATCAACGGTACTTTACGGTACATGTACAGCATGGCCGTCATGCACCCAGCGTCACAAACTATCATAAATCGAGTGAATCTATTTAGAGATATACTTCGAAATACTCGTCCACATAATTATGTCCCTCAATGGGCAATATAACGCATAACACAATGGGAGAGAGTGTGTGTCAGGCAGTGCCTTACAATACTGAAATGTCATGTATTTGCCATACCTTCAGTTTCAAATCAATAAGAGGCTCAGTAGAGGAAACACGAATGCTGATGGAGTTGCGACACCTTCGCTGCCTGTACACAAGAAGAAAGTGACAGTCAAAGTGCAGTGCATACAGAGACCATAAGATATCAGCACCCATCATGGTCAACTACAAGAGACACCAAGCCAGCAAGCAAGGGAGGGAGGGAGAGAGAGAGAGCCGCACAAAGAAGACCGCGAGAGTCCCTAGAATTACCTGGTGCTACGGCGAACACCTAGTGATCCACCTTCTTCCGGATTCACGCACAGGCGCTTAGTCGGCGGTGCCTGTAGACATGCCACCAGCAAAAATACACCCACACACACCCACACCCATGTGCACACACGTGCACACACACACACACACACACACACACACACACACACACACACACACACACACACACACACACACATACACACACATACACACACATACAAACACATACACACACATACATTAAAATAATTCAATTCTCCTGTCCTATACAAGCACATCAGAGATCGACGATCCGGCAGCCATTCCGAAGTGAGAATACATTGTCAGTATTGTGTCTTGCAGTAGTGGACTAACGCATGTCATACAAACAGAATACACACTGGAAGATAAAAGTTTACCTCCAAGAGGGTGGTTACAAGTGTAGCTCTCATCCAAGAAAATTTTAAAAATACAGTAAGGTGTCTACAGATCTGTTGTTCAACTTACATCGAGATCGATGGGATCATGGCTGTTCGAGCCGTCAGTCGTCATCTTTGGTGCAGGAAGAACGCACGCGAGCAGGTAGAAACATAGACAAGTAGACACGCACACACACACGCACACACACATACACATACACATGCACGCACACGCACGCACACACACACACACACACACACACACACACACACACACACACACACACACACACATGTTTGCTCACAAAGATACATCCTTGACGCCTGGCACCTCGACACCGAGTCATTCGATCGGATCTCATTGAGCAGCACTGCACTAAGTTTCTGTGACCCTACACAGACTGGTGGAGCACAGCCCTATCTGTAGTTGCACAATTCAGGTACACAGAACTCTAGCACTAACCAAGGCAGCTCACAGCTTCATGGCATTCAAGTTTCAGGTAGATGCTGGATATGTTGGGAAGTCTGAAGAAAACTTGAAAATGACTTTCAGGAACTGGACTCTAAAACGGAACATAATACATAGCTGTCATCCCAGCACTGGTCATTCATCATTTTCAATACGGTGCAGCGCCGCCATGCTTGCTAAGTTATAATGGCTGCAGCAGACAATGAACTTGTACACCATTCCAAAGGACAATTGAAAACCTGACACAAAGCGTGACACCCCTCTACCCCCCACACCGGACATCGGGGTCTTCTCACTGCGGCAGTGCTGGTGGGATTGGATTCGACCTGACGTATGTAGACGGTGGCTTCCGAGTACTCCAGTCGTTTCTTGTGACAGTCGGCTAAGCGCTGGCTATAACAGTCCATGCACAACGCTGTACAGAACACCATGTGCATACAGAAACTCAGAGTGACGACTACCATCATATGAAACAGCCACGTAGCCCGCATGGGGCACGGGGGCAGGTGCACCCCCCCCCCCCCCCTAAAAATTTCGACCTAGGTTCAGCATGCACATAATGACAACGAATGACATGTACCAGCCATCCTACCCATATGCGGCCGTACACCCCCTAAAAGGGAGACCAGCGACGCCCCTGTGCTACCCCCCCCCCTCGATATACTTAGTACTGTACATGTATACCACGAGTGAGTGAATGACTACAACGAATGTGACACAACTGGACCTTTTCACATGAGCGAATGAATAGTCTAGCAGGTGAGAGCAAGGCAGAAAATGAATAGTCTAGCAAGTGAGAGCAAGGCAGAAAATGAATAGTCTAGCAGGTGAGAGCAAGGCAGAAAATGAATAGTCTAGCAGGTGAGAGCAAGGCAGAAAATGAATAGTCTAGCAGGTGAGAGCAAGGCAGAAAATGAATAGTCTAGCAGGTGAGAGCAAGGCAGAAAATGAATAGTCTAGCAGGTGAGAGCAAGGCAGAAAATGAATAGTCTAGCAGGTGAGAGCAAGGCAGAAAATGAATAGTCTAGCAGGTGAGAGCAAGGCAGAAAATGAATAGTCTAGCAGGTGAGAGCAAGGCAGAAACTAGTCACGAATAAAGTTCCAGAAAATTACGAAGCATCAATATACATACGCATGTTCAAGAGTGCAATGGCACACATGACACACACGCATGGCATACACATGGCGCGCGCGCGCACACACACACACACGTGCACACACACACACACGTGCACACACACACACACGTGCACACACGACACAAACACACAATACAATAGTAACAATACAATACAATAATGCCCATCCGAAGATGATGGCAGGTCCTGAAAGGACCGACAGTGTTTCAGTCACGCGGCACAGAACTTCTAGTGGCGAGTGAGGTCCTGGCGACGGTGAAAATCTCGGCCGCAGTGGCACCTGAAATCCCGAGACATAGGTTTAGGCGGCTGGATGGTGTTGCAGGCCAGTCTCCACGCACGACGGTCCTCGGCTAGGCTGTACCAGTCATTGATGTGGCGTTCCTCTAGGTCAATCACGATGTTGTCACGCCAACGCTTGCGTGGCCCGTGGCGAGGGCGCGTCTTCTGGAGCTCACCAAACAATACGCACTTCGGTATTCTGTCGTCCGACATGCGTCCGACATGCCCCAACCAGCGAAGACGGCGCGTCCTCAGCATCTCCACCACAGATCGCAAACCAGCCCGCTCCAGGATGACTGCATTGGAGAGATGCTCATTCCATTGTTCTGACTTGCTGACGTCCAGGATAAACCGAGCACAGCGGTTATGGAACACTGACAGACGGCGGGTGTCGGTTGCCTTGACAGCCCATGACTCACAGCCATAAAGTAACGTTGAGAGGACGACTGCAGAGTAAACATGAGTCTTGGTACGCACAGAGATGTGGCGGTTTCCGAAGACAGCAGAACGCAAGGCACCAAAAGACCGGGAGGCCTTGGCAAGACGGGAACAAACCTCAACCGACAACCGGCCATCATTAGTAATACAGCTACCGAGGTATGTAAATTCGTTCACGATTTCGATGTCGCCATCTGCCAACGTCAAGCATCCGGTCGGAGGGGGATCAGCATTGATGACCATGCACTTCGTTTTACCAAAACTGACAGTGAGGCCGAACTGGGTAGCGACGGTCACGAACAAAGCGGCAGCAGCATCCATGTCCGTTACTGAATGGGTGTACAACGCGGCGTCATCCGCAAACTGAGACTCGGTTATAGTGCATTGAGACAAACGACTCTTGGCAGTCCGGTCGCCAACAAGCTTACGGCCGGTTTTGTACGAGACTGGGATCCCGGCACATTTGCAAGTAGAACGCCATGCATCCATCACCACGGCAAAATACAGATTGAACAACACGGGCGCAAGGGTGCAACCTTGCCTCAAACCATTGTTGACTGGGAAAGAATCCGAAGAAGCTGTAGACACTCGCACGGCTGCCGACATTCCCTCATGCAGGGACTGTATGACCTTCAGCATTTTCGGGGGCACACCAAGTTTGCTTAGTATTGACCAGAGGGACGTTCGGGGGATGGAATCGTATGCCTGACGAAGGTCTACGAACAGAACACACAACTGATCATCGTGCTCAACGGACTTCTCGATGAGCTGGCGGGCTACAAACACCATGTCATTGCAACCTCTCCCTTTGCGGAAACCACATTGGGAGTCTGGTAGCACATCCTCGGCAATCATCTGCACTCTATCCTGTATCACACGGGCAAATAGTTTGCCAACAATGTCCAGCAAGCTGATGCCGCGCCAGTTGTCACAAAGTCTGAGATTGCCCTTTTTCGGAACAGGGACAATCTCAGCATCTCGCCAATCATTCACCACATCTCCACTGTGCCACACAGCAACCATGACATTTAGCAAGCATATGTGAAGGTTCTCGCCTCCACACGCCACCATCTCAGGCAATATGCCTGTTGGCCCACTCGCCTTTCCAAGCTTCATATGCTTTATGGCTGCAGTTAGCTCACCCAGGGTCGGCGGTTTGTCTAGGTCATTTCGAACCTGACGCTGTGGCACGGCTTCCACCGTCTCATCATTAAATGTTCCCGCAACGTTAAAAAGACCACTGAAATGTCGTCCCCAACGTGCCGTTACAGCAGCGGGTGACACTAGCGCATTCCCTTCCTCGTCAATGATAGAAGTTGATGGTATTGCTTTACGACCGGCAAACACTGAAGACAGGGCACGGATGCAACCCCAACGGGCTCGACCATTATGGACAGCATCTTCAGCGCGGGACGCCAGATCGCAGATCCAGTTCTCCTTGGCAAGTCGAACCGCATCTCTGACTGCTCGCTGAGAAGCACGAAACGCACAACGGTGTTGCTCTGAAGGGGACTTCAGAAATAGATTGTGGGCGATGTTTTTCTGGTCAATGAGCGGTTGGATGGTGTGACTGGCCGCAACAAACCAATCCTGTTGTGCTCTGCGGTCATGACCAACCGATTTCTCTGCAGCTTCAAGCATCACTTGGGGAATTGTGGCCCACTCCTCCTCCGGGTCCAAGTCATCACAGAATGAGCGGTCACACAGCGGCTGAATGTTAGCATTGATCTGGTGTTGAAATTTGCTCTGCACATCAGGTTTGGTGTGCAACTGATGAGCCGTACATGGACGCCGGCGGGACGACGGCGACTTCTGCGATCGGAAAGCTCGGGCACAAAACACCAACTTTGCACGGACTAGCATGTGATCTGACCAACACGAAGCGCTACGCATCACTCTCGCATCAACACAGCTGTACGACCTGTTCTTATGCATCAGGATGAAGTCGATAGCATGGAAAACTTAAGTACACAAACACACACGACACAAACACACACACACGACATACACACAGTGGCGGTTGTTAGACCAGCACATGATCAACACCAAGCTGCTGCACCTACAAGGAGATGAGCACTGGTCGACACGGAGCTGCTCCTCGGGTATGCTTGGGTCCAGGTCGCGACTTAGCTGCACGGACAGTGCATTGCGGCAACTGTAGTAGCGTTGCAAATCCTGCCAGTGGTGCTCCGTGACGTAAGAGAATCGAGGACTGCACAGTGAACAAGATAGGAAAAGAGAGAGAGGAAACCGTACACATGGCATATGGCAAGGGTGCAATGATTGTTTGGAAGCAGAACTATAGTTCCAAGCTGCGCATTATCAAGAGTGTGTGCTTTGCAGTCCTATACGCTAGCGTTTGCAGACGTTGCTGGTGCCAATGCCATCCTTACCAGTCGTAGTCATCGCTTAACTGTTCGTCGTCATCTGGCAACACATTGTAGATCAGCTGGCCGTGCTCACCGCAAACAAACGCAGAGTTGTCAATGCACTCCGGTATGCCGGACTGGCCATTGCTTCTGTAACGTGCACACACATGCACACACATGCACACACACACACACACACACACGCACAAACACACACACGCACAAACAAACACAGAGCATACAATGGAGTACAGTTCTGCTAATGTGTACACACAAAGTACCATAAAACCAGCCAAATTGAAATAACAAAAGCAGTTCAATCTGCACCAGATAAGCATTTCATAACGACTTCCAACTAATTTCGGGACTCAGGAGAAGTCATTTATCACAGACAACGCGAGTCATACATCATTTGAACTACAGCATTTCACATAGCTTTCAGCCATACAGACTTACCGAATGAACCGCTTGAGCTTGTCAAGAAAGTCACCAGCAACAATGTAGAATATTGCACATGACTGAAAAAACCCCAGAACAGAACAGAACAGCGGAAATGGAAACAAACAAACGGCCAAACACACGCACACACACACATACATACATACACACACACACACAACACACACAGAAAACGCCCGGCTATTAAATCAGCAGAAGAATACAGAGATGCACACTTGCTGGATGACTCCTGGGCAATCTATCTCTCCACCCGTGTCCTTTGAACCCCGAAACAGCAACAGACAGGAAGCTGGGGTACACTCCACAAGAATGTCCAATCTAGCTCAGTGCCCAAACTTCCAAAGGCAAGGAAAGCGTGCAACTTACTTCACCCGGCTGTAACATAGCATCCTGCGAGCGGTTCATCAGCAAAGACGCATACGCCTCCTTCTGCTCTGACGCCTGGAGTCGAAGTGCCAGTTCCAAACTCTCCTCCTCGCAGCGTGTCTCCTAGAAGAGGAACAGGAGGAACGAGAAGAAGTACAACGATGCCAGGAAGAATGTAAGTCGACATAACGCACCGAGCCAAGCTCACTCAACATCCCACCGGGGCGCTCATCACCTCACACACACCTGAAGGCCGATTCACAATATCACTTTCTACGACACAACATGCGACAAGCGACAATTGCGACAAAGGAAATGCCTGTCGCGTACTGTCGCAAGCAGTTGCAACGCCACTGTCGCAGAAGTTGACCACTTTTGTGACGTGCGACATACAGAAATGGAGCACAATTTCTACTCTGGGTTGACGTGCACTGCACGGGGCACAGTACATGCACAGTACATGCACAGTACATGCACAGTACATGCACAGTACTTGCACTGCATAAGGATGCCGCAAAACTTCAAAGATAGCGAATCGTGTGTCGCGGTCGCAGGTGTCGCGTTGCAAAAAGTAGTATTGTGAATGGGCTTTTTCATAGTCTTGTCACGAGCGTATCCGTGGCAGAATCAATTGAATGAAACTATCACAATCTTCAAGTCATTGGCTAATAACTCCAAATAAACAAACAGAAAAACAAAACAAAATCACCAGCAGATGGCTGTACAAAAACGTGGAGGTAACAAAACACCAGGCAAACAACGTACGAGGGAAACAGCTCGCAGGGGCGCTGTGGAGCAAACAATTCACTGCCAGTTTAATTCAGCTGCAAGCAACCATTGCGGCAGTCTCACCTGACACTTCGAACACAGTTCTTGGTTGACGGGATATTCAGTTGCATCGGTCATGTATGGGCGGATAATGCGCCAAGCATTGGCTGGAATCAAACGGCGAACTGACTGATCAACACTGAAACAATCTGCAGAGAAGAGAAGAGAAGAGAGAGAGAGAGAGAGAGGGAGGGAGGGAGGGAGAGAGAGAGAGAGTAAGAGAGACAGAAAGAGACAGTGAG